CAAGCTATACTGAAGGCACTGGCCAAAAACAAGGCTTAACGAACTGACAAAATATCAAATGAAATGTTTCAACAAGTTGAAGCAAAAATCATCTATGCTAGAAAATTTGGAAAACAGTTAACTAGCCAATCGACTAGAAGAGATCCATATTTGTGCCCATTTCAAAGAAAAGTGATCCAACGGAATGCAGAAATTACTGAACAATATCATTAATATCACACAATCTCATTTTGTTGATGGTAATTAAAACACGGTTGCAGCAGTACATCAACAAAACTGCCAGAAATTCAGCCAGATTAAGAATAAGACACGGTGTGAGGACTACCACTGCTAATGTCAGATGGGTCTTGGCTGAAAGCAAAGAATACCAGAAAGAGGTTTGCCTGTGTTTTACTGACCATGCAAAGGTATCCAACTGTGTCAATCATAACTATGGACAACAGTGCAAAGAATGGGAATTCCAGGTCAATTAATTGTGCTCCTGAGGAGCCCGTATACAGAACAGGCCTATAGGCAGTGGTTCAAAATAAACAAGATGATACCACCTGGTTTAAAACCAGAAAAGGTTTATGTCAGGGTTGTATCCTTCAGTTAATTTGTATGCTGAGCAAATAATACAAGAAACTGGATTATACAGTGGGCTTCAAAATTTCATTTAACTTTTAATTTTATTTTTCTACCAACTTTTTGAAGCCCCCCCCCACCCTCCATCAGAAGAACATGGCATCAAGATTACATTCATGAATAACCTGTGATATCCAGATGATACAATGTGGCTTGCTGAGAACACTGCTGAAGATCAGACTACAACTTTCACTATGAATTATTCCCCAATGCAAAGAAAACAACTGGACCAATAAACAAAATCAGGATAAGCCAGAAAATATTAAGTCATCAGGGATCTCACTTTAGTTGGATATATAATCAAAACCCATAGAAAGCAGCTGTCAAGAAATCAAACAATACATTGCACTGGACAAATGTGCTCAACAAATCTGCTCAACAAAGATGTTACTTTGAGGACTAAGATGGCATTTTGAATTGCCACATATGTATGGAAGCTCGAGAATATAAAGCCAAATATTACAACAAAATGTGCAAAGGTCTGGAATCAGAAAACCAAAAAGGAAAAACACACTCAGCATTTCTCAAGCTGGGGGAACTGAAGAAAAAATTCAAGGCTCGACTTTCGTTATTGAAAGATTCCCTGGGCAAAGTATGGAATGATGCAGAAAGCATCAAAAGAAGATGGAAGGAATACACAGGATCACTGTACCAAAAGGAAATGGTTAATGTTCAACCGTTTCAAGAGAGAGCATATGATCAAGAGCCAATGATACTGAAGGAGGAAGTCCAAGGTACACTGAACGAAGTGGCACAAAACACGGCACCAGGAATTGATGGAATAAAAATGGAAATATTTCAAGAAAGTGAGGCGGCACAGGAGGCACTCATTCATCTCTGCCAAGAAATTTGGAAAACGACTATGTAGCTGACTGATTGGAAGAGATCGGTATTTGTGCCCATTCCAGAGAGGTGACCTAACGGCATGCGGAAATCATCAATCTCTTTGATATCCCATGTGAGTTAAGTTTTACTAAAGGTAATACAGAAACGGCTGCAAGCATACATTGACAGAGAACTTCCAGAGGTTCAAGCCGGATTCAGAAGAGGCCATGGAACGAGGGATGTCATTGCTCATGAGGAATCTGTACCTGACCAAGAGGCAGTTGTTCAAACAGAACATGGGAACACTGAATGGTTTAAAATTAAGAAAGCTGTGAACAAGGTTGTATTCTTTCACCATACTTATCCAACCTGTATGCTGAGCAAATAATCAGAGAAGCTGGGTTCTATGAAGAAAAACGTGGCATCAGGATTGGAGGAAGACTCATTAACAACCTGCGATATGCAGATGATACAACTTTGCTTGCTGAAAATGAAGAGGACTTAAAACATTTACTGATGAAGATCAAAGAGCACAGTCTTCGGTATGGATTACATCTCAATGTCAAGAAAACAAAAATCTTCACTACTGGACCAATAAATAACATTCTTATCAACGGAGAAAAGATGGAAGTTGTCAAGGACTTCACTCTTCTTGGATCAACTATCAACACTCACGGAAGCAGCAGTCATGAGATCAAATGACGTACTGCATTACGCAAATCTGCTGCACAAGACCTTTTTTTAAAGTGCTGAAGAGCAAAGATGTCAGCTTGAGGACTAAGGTGCGCCTGACCCAAGCCATTGTATTTTCAATAATATCATATGCATGCGAAATCTGGACAGCGAATAAGTAAAACTGTAGAAGAAATGATGCTTCTGAGTTGTGGTGTTGGAGGAGAATATTGAATAGGCCATGGGTTGCCAAAAGAACCAACAGATCCGTTTTGGAAGAAGTGCAGTCAGAGTGCTCCTTGGAGGCCAAGATGGCCAAACGTTATCTCTCATACTTTGGACATATTGTTAGGAGGAACCAGTCGCTGGAGAAGGATATCATGTTTGGTAAGGTGGAGGGTCAGAGAAAAAGAGGAAGACCCCAACGAGATGGATTGGCCAAGTGGCAACATCGATGGACTCAAGTGTGACAGAGGTAGTGAGGTTGGCCCAGGATCGGGCAGTGTTTCATTCTGCTGTGCACAGGGTCGCTATAAGTCGGTACCAACTCAATGGCACCTAACAACAATAACAACATATGTAAGGAGGAGCTGGACAATGAATAAAGAAGACCAAAGAAGAATTGATACCTCTGAATTAGGGTGTTGGTGAAGCATACTGAACATACCGTGAACTGCCAGAAGAACAAACCAGTGTCTAGGAAGTATAGCCAGGTTGCTCCTTAGAAGAGAGTATGGCAATATTGCATCTCACATACTTTGGACCTGTTATCAGTATCAGGAGGGACCAATCCCTGGAGAAGTATATCATGTTTGGTAAAATAGAGAGTCAGTGAAAAAGAGAAAGACCCTCAACAAGCTGCGCTGAAGCACTGCTGTAACAACGGGCTGAAATATAGCAACAATGTTGAGGATGGTGCAGGACTAGGCAGTGTTTTAATTTATTATATATACACAGGGTCATTTTGAGGGCATCTAACAGTAACAACAAGGCAACGCTTTTGTCAATTATTTTTGCTGTAGCTATTTGTTTTTTATGCATAGGTCTAAAAACTAAAATAATTCCCTGTTTTGACCTTTACAAGTATAGAAAAAGTCAGACATAAGTCACATTGCATACTCATTAACATTCTTCCATTTAAAAATAATTTTACATAACATTATACAGTATTTTTAAAATTTTATAATTAGGCAAATATTATACAAGTCCATGTGAATCCTAATCATCCATCTTAAAGCTAAATCACAATAGGAAAAAGTTCTAAAAACTGCCTTTGAATGAAATTATGTCACAACAGACTTTACTATTAATTTCAATTCTGTTGACTAGTTGACTGTGTAGTTGTTGTCAGCTCCAGTTCATGACGACTCCATGTAAACAGAACAGAACAGTGTCCAGTCCTACACCACGCTCTAGACTGTTGGGAGGCCTGAGTCCATTGTTGCAGCTACTGTGAATTTTGAGTGCCTTCCAATCTACTGGGTTCACCGTCCAGCATTACAGCAGACAACACTCGGTGTGATCCACAGGGGGTTTAGTGGCTCATTTTCAGAAGAAGATCATCAGGCTTTTGTTCCCTGTTTGCCTTAACTGACAGTTCTGCTGAAACCTGTCCCCTCCCTAGATGATTCCACCAGTATTTGAAATATAATGACATAGCTTCCAGAATCACAAGCAACACAGTACAACAAACTGACAGACAGGTGGTAAATACTAAGATGTACTATATAAAATAAATGGAAAATAGTGCTGTATACTTAAAATTAAAAGTATGCTTCAGTGTATTTATTCATATATTATAATGAAAGACAGGATAAAATCAATTTTATGAGAGAATAAAACCAAAGGAGTCTTTTTTATTAATCTAGAATTTCCTATGGTAAATTATTTTTTAAAATAAGAAGCCACTATATTCTAAAAGGAGACCTGGTGTGGCACTAGGGGTTAATGCACTGGACTGCAAAGTTTGAACTGCAAGGTCGGCAGTTCAAGCTCACCAGCCGCTCCTCAGAAACCCTATACAGGGTCGCTATGGGTCGGAACTGACTCCACAGCACTTAACAATGACAACATATTCTAAGATGGGCTCCTGGTGTGGAGCTGTAGGATCAATACTGGACTGCGAACCACAAGGTCAGTGGCTCAAACTCACCAGCTGCTCCCTGGAAACCATATAAAGGGTTGCTAAGAATCAGAACCAACTGGACAGCATTTAACAACAGCAACAATCTATTCTAAGATACTGTGCTTTCTTAAGAGTCTGAAAATAGTGTATTACCAAAATTTAAATTTAAAAATGGGTAAAATATGCACATGAGTCATATAAAATTAGAAATCCTGTTAGATCGTTAACAAACGGAAGGCAAATTAAAGCATTCATTAGGGACTAGAAGTCAGACAAGAGAAAAGAGACCAAATGGGTCTGAAATGGACAATAAAATTATATATATGGTAAAGTAGAAAAGATAACTTAAGAAATCCCTTCCTAATTAATTCTTCTTAATAAAAATACAAAAAGTTAGTATCAGCATCCCTTACCTCATGTGGCCAAATAAAAAAATTCAGAAACAAGTGAGCACTGCTGATGGGGAAACTGGCTTTCAACATCTCCAAAGCGGGAGACATTAGAAATACATCTGTTTGCCATCATTTCACCCGACTTCACATTAAGGAATTGCTGATCTGATTATTAAGCTTAAAAGAAACAGAACCACAACTTTCACAAAAACAAGTCTCTTAACATGAACTTTAAACCATAATGTCTCATTACACAGTATTCCATTTACCTTAATAGTCCAAATTTATTTCTAAATTACATCAACTAGAGTTTTGTGTGTAAGTAACAACAATAACAACAAAACCATGGCATTTTTCCTTACCAATTCATATTCATCAAAAAGTTGTATGAGAGAAGGTGGAATGAACATATGAAATCCCTGTAAGAAAGCGTTGATCTGAGGCTGAATGGCTCTTGTCATTCGAAGTTCAGTGACAAGCTGGACATATTCTGCCTACATTAAAAAAAAAAAAAAATCCTGATGTTTTAAAAAGCACTTTAATTAAGATTATGCTGATATAACTTCAATTCCCAGTTAAGAGATAAATGTGTAGAATTATTTAGCATCATGATTCTTACATCTCAGAAAACAGTAAACCACCTTTCACTAAGCTGTTCAAACCAAATTCCTAATAATCACCTATAATTTCTCTCACATCCTACAAAAGCAGTATCATCGCATCTACCTTTTAAAAAATTCTCACTCTGACTTTGTCTCTCCACCTCCACTTCTTGCACCCTGGTCCAAGCCATATCTCTTCTCACCTGGATTAATGCAGTATCTGGTGCTTTTTTTTCCATGTTTGCCTCTGTACTGCTTTTTCTCCCTCACAAAGTGATTATTATTTAAAAATATAATTCAGAGCACCTAAACCTTTTGTTCAAAATCTTAAAATGACTTCCCCCATGATACCCAGAGGAAAATTCAAAGTCCTCACCTAGTCTGTAAGGCCCTAAGAGACCCAGCCTTTCTCCCTGCCCTCACTTTATTCCACTCACCCTCTTTGCCCATTCATTCAACTCTAGCTTCACAGACCTTCTTGTAATTTCTCAAACACAAACTTGTTCAGGCTCAGGATCTTTATCCTTTTGGGTCTATCTGAAATGCCTCACTAGAATGTAATCTCCCTGAAGGCAAAGGCTTTATTTATTTATATAAATAACCCCACCATCTAAAACAAGTGGTTGTCACCTTGTAATTATTAACAAATAAGGGATGCACACATTCATCAACTTCATTGAACAGACACTTACAATTTGGTGAAATGGCTCATATTAACAAAGCCAACAGAATTTTGAGTAAAGTAAGGTAAGCTAAGCTAAGCTATTTAGGCATATTTTAAAAGATACCATCATTTAATTTTTTTTATAAAAAAATCAACTGGCAATAAAAAATCCATTATGGTTCACGCCAAAATAAATTAATCATAACTATATCACTTGTTATCTACATTTTATTAAATTACTTCTCAGTAAAACTTTTTGAGTTAAAAGCAATATGCCATATAGACTTCTCACCTCCCAGGAATGAATAACTACAGAAGAGAGAAACCTTGTTTTATGCCCTTTGCTTTACTCAGTCTTGGCACTAATCCGATGCAGTGTTTAAAAAAGGAAAAAAAAGAAAAACAGGCACTGAGCCAGCAAGTTATATGTGACTGCTGGGTATGAATTCTCAGTACCTCTCAGAGAAGCGCCACAGTGGATTCCTCACTGCCATCCCCAAAGTTGCTATCTCTGCTAGTCTATCTATTCACATTCCCAAATCCCACTGCTACCACCAGAAGGCTTTTCTTCAGGATACAGGAATTAATCAATTACTACAAGTTATAGACAGGTAATTACTATAGAGAAAACAGAAATGTATGCCAAACAATCTGAGAAATATATTAAAATTTTCAGGGTCCAACTCAAGAGATTATAGATATATATAGAGAAAGAGAGTGTGAGTACAGGTATGGCACTGTGGGATAATGAACTGGGCCACAAGGTCGATTTAAACCACAACACTGGTGGTTCAAATTCACCAGCCACTGCTTGGAAACCTTAAACAAGGTTGCTATGACATGATGGAGAGAGAGAGAGAGAGAGAGAGAGAGAGAGAGAGAGCTGTGGTGTAGCACTGTGTCTTAATATGCTGGACTGCAGCATCAGTTTGAACTGCAAGGTCAGCAGTTCCTTGGAAACCCTATATAGGGTCAGTATGAGTCGGAACCTACTCCACGGCACTTAACAACAATATATATATAGAGAGAGATGAGCATTCACACATGACTATCTTTTAGCTTCTATCTGTTCTACCTAGCACTGTACATTGGAGGCACTGTTCATTCATTAGTTATACATCTATATGTTTCAAGTGCTATGCTACTGCTGTTTTATGCCATCAACTGGATTCTTGACTCTTTGTGCTCCCATCCTTTATGGAAGCAGATCAACAGCTCTTTCTTCCAATGATATACTTAGTATAGTCAAACTACTAACCTTAAAGCTAGCAGCCAAGAACTTAATCAGTGCACAATCAGGACAATCTGAGATTTTGTTTTCCTAAACAAGTATGTCTTCTTCCCAAATGATTCTAGTTTCATAATCTCATTCTTTAAGACCTTTAGAAATTATGAAGCATGAAAATAAATGATTTGTGACTTGCTCAAGTATTCTTTACATACTTTAGCTGCCATTGCATCCCAGATCTATCAGAACATTACACATTCAATTTTTAACAATTGTCAACTGCCACCAAGCCTCATGATGAGGAATCCATACACAATGGAAAAAATAAACACTGCCCACCCTTGTGCCATCCCCACGATTAGTTGCAAATCAAATCTTTGTGATCCGTAAGGTTTACATTGACTTATTGTAACAAACAGGCCACCTTTCTTCCTAGTTGATCTAAGTTGGGAGTTCTGCTGAAACCTGTTCAGCATAACAGAAACCACACCCTCCACAGACAGGTGCATGGCTGTGCAGGAGATGCACTAACCAGGAATTGAACTCATGGTAGTGTGAATCGTCCCCCAAACTAACTGCTTTTATCAAGCAATTCCATTATGCCCTCATGCATTCAATTTATTTAAATTAATTTTCATAAGTACACTAATCTTTCTTCAGCTTCCCCTTCTGTTGCTTTGAATAGTAATTATTTTCCACATGTATTTTAAGGAACTTAAATGGGGAAAGCTCTTCGTTAAATTATTTGTCACTGAAAAATAACAAAATCCAAACCATCAAATTCTCCAAAGTTGTTTAATAAGAGTTTTCCAGATTATTGATATACAGCTGTGACTGATTTAAGATGCTTCTAAATTATATATTATACATATAACCCGCATCAATAATCTGTCAGTTTGCCCTACTTTGATGGCTTGTGTGTTGAGGTGATGATGGAAGCTATATGACTGGTATTTTAAATACCAGCAGGATCACCCATGGTGGACGGGTTTCAGCAGCGCTTCCAGTCTAAGACAGACAAGGAACAAAAAGAGGCAGATCACTTCTGAATGGTTAACCAGTGAACACCTTATGAAAACAACAAAACATTGTCAGATACAGTACAGGAAGATGAGCTCCTCAGGTAGGAAGGCACTCAAAATAGTACTGGGAAGATCTGCCTCCTCATAGTAGACTTGATCATAATTACATGAATGGATGGAGCAAAGCTAAAAAAAAATCTTCATTTACTAAAGGTATACAATTTAAAATGAGAAGAAACAGCTGTAAACATCCATTAATAATATGAACATGGAATGCACAAAGTATGAATCTAGGAAAATTGGAAGTTGTAAAAAAATGAAATGGAACACATACAGATCAATATCGTTAACACCGGGAGCTGAAATGAATTGGTATGGCCACTTTGAATCAGACAATCACACAGTTTACTAAGCCAGAAATGATAAATTAAAGAGGAACGGCACTGCATTCAGTCAAAAAGAACATTTCAAAATCTATCTTGAAATCCAATGCTGTCTGTGGCAGGATAATATCCATATGCCTACAAGGTGGTGGTGGTGGCTGTGTGCCATGGAGTTGGTTCCAACTCATAGCGACCCTGTACAGGGTTTCCAAGGCTGTAAATCTTTACAGGAGCAGAACACCTCATCTTTCTCTAGTGGAACAGCTGGTAGTTTAGAACTGCTGACCTTGTGGTTCATAGCCCGATTCATAACCACTATGTTACCAGAGCTCCTTATGCCTACAAGGAAGACCAGTTAATATCACTGTTATTGAAATTCACCCAATAACCACTTATGCTAAAGACGATGAAATTGAAGAATTATACCAGGCTCTTTCAATAGATTGCACTGAGGGATCTTAATTGTGCTCATGAGGAACCTGCACATAGACCAAGAGGCAGCTGTTTGAACAGAACAAGTGAACACTGAATGGTTTAAATCAGCAAACGTGTGCAGCAGGGTTGTATTCTTTCACCATACTTCTTCAATCTATATGATACGCAAAACAATCCGAGAAGCTCA